TGTGTGTGTGTGGCCAGCTCAGCGTGCCCTAACGGTGGGGCTGACACAGGGGATTGAACTGTGGTCCCTGGGCTTTGCCTAAGCAGGTGCTTTACACCACTGAGCTATCTTGCCAGCCCAGTACTCATAATATTAATTATGCTATTAACCATTTGCTTCCAATCTCAACTATGGGGGACCAGAAGCCTGCCTACCCACTGTGCCTCATTGTGCTTTTTTGTTCATAATGGCATATCTCATTGTATATTTTATGTATGTATGTATTTTTGGGGTACTGGGGCTTGAACTCAGGCCCTTGTGCTTGCCAGGCAAGCGTTCATTTTACTGAGCTATCTCCCTGGCCCCAAGACACTTTTTTTTTTTTTTTTTTTTTTTTTTTTTACTGGGGATTGAACTCAGGACTTTGTGCTTGCCAGGCAGGCACTTACGCCACTGAACTATCTCCCTGGCCCCAAGACATATTATAGGCAGCTAAGGTACATGGGAATGTCCTAGGTAGTCAGGGCCAGGCTCTCAGAAGCCCAGATACCTTGCAACTGTGAGTGAGACAGACCTTCCTGCTGCGGGCCAGATCTCAAGACAAAAGATTAAACAAATGCACACCTTTTCTAAAGATAAACATCCAGGATTGGTATTCTAAATAACCTCTATCCCCTCGAGGAAGCCAGGAAGTCATTAGCCCAACCCCTATAGGAAAAGCCCCCATTCTATATTCAAGCCTGCCTTCCAAGCTACTTGCTTCTCCATTTGGCCCGGGATTTACCTGAGCAATTGTTCTTGTAAGCTTACTGGTTGACCATCGTTTTGTCACACCTCATGCCCACCTAGAGAGTTTCCATGTTTTCTACCTTCGAGCTGCCTCACCTCATGGTTTTGCTTTATAAAGCCCCTAGAAAAGGGAGGGTCTTTGGCAGCCCACTTGGGTACCCTCTGTCCCTCTCCAGGACAGAAGCTTTCTTTCCCCCAATAAATATATTCTGCTCCTAACCTCTGTCGCTCCTAAATTCAGTCTTAGAGAACACAAACTCTGTCCAGGTATCTTTCAGGTTGGGAGTTTCATTCCCCTGTATTCACTCAAAGCATAGAAGCTGCTAATTTAAAATCTCAAAATATGTGAAGACATCTGAGGTTGAGTGAATAAGTTACACGTTAGGAAAGATACTAATAACAAATTTAGAAGACTCAAAGGTACAGAAAGAACGCTGGTAAATCTTGTATACTTTCAATGGTAGAACTAAAAATTGGCATTCGCTTTAAAACAGTAAGGACAATATCATAGTAAAGTAGCCTTTCTTTAGGTTGCCTCACGCTTACAAGTATAATAAATGAAATATTCTCTCCGCTGTTGCACAAATGCTGAGGGCACAATACTGGGATCACTACGGGGACAGACAAGCAGAGGCTTCCTTATGGCTGGAAATGGCGGAGCTTGGCATTGAGCTCTCTCTCCTGGTTTAAAAGACCCAGGGTGTGCTTTTTGAAGGCTTCTGACTGCAGCCTGAGTTCGTCGTAGGCATTCTGGATCCCGTCCACCCTGCGCTGCAGCTCTCGGACTCTCAGGCTGCCGTCCACAGCCGCGGCCTCTCGCTCAAACCGCTCTAGGGCCTGCCTCCGGGCCAGCTCGGCCGCCTCCAGCCTCTCCTCCAGCTGGCGGATCTCCGCCTGCTTGCTCTGAAGGCCCTTGCCCCTCTCCATGGACAGCTGGAGCAGCTCCTCCTTCTCCCGCGTGGCGGTCTGCAGCCTGGCCTGCAGCTCCTGGCTCAGCCTGCCGTGCGTCTCGCTGGCACTGGCCATCTGCTGCACAGCTTGCTGGTGCTGCTGCTGGAGACTCTGCAGCTGGCGGCGCAGCTGCTCCTCCTCCGCGGCGTGCGCGCAGGCCTGCTGGCTCTGCACCTCCAGCAGCGCTTTCTCGCGGGCCTGCGCCCGGCGGGCATCCTGGGCGCATCTCTCTTTCAGAGCCTCCAGCTCCTGGGCCAGGGCCTCGCTCTGCACGGTGAGCTGCACTACTGTGGCCTCCTTGTCTTTCAGAGCCTGGCTGAAGAGCGTGGTGTTCTCCAGCCTCAGCTTCTCGTTCTCCTCCCTCAGCTTGACGTTCTCACTCTTGTGCTCGTCCTTGAAGCGAATCATCAGCTCGTGGTTGGCTGCCAGGGTCTCAAAGCGCTCCTCCAGCTTCTGGGCGCGTCTGCTCTGCGCCTTCAGCCGCTCGGCCGCCTGCGCCCGCTTCTCCTCCAGCTCCTGGTTGACCAGCTCCAGGATCTGGCAGCGCTCCAGGGCGTCGTCCGACCTCCGCTTCAAGATGCAGATGAGCTGGGACTGCTCCTGGATGCGGGAGCGCAGCAGGGCTCTTTCGCTCTTCTCTTCCTCAGAAAGGCCCCGGAGGTTGGCCAGCGCTTCCCTCAGCCCATCCAGCTCCTTCAACTCCATCTCCGCTTCCTCGTGCGTCAGGCTGTCACCGTGCTGGTCCGGGGGCTCTTCGAGAGGCGGGGTGTCCATGGCGGGAGCCAGCCCTGCTCAGGCCTGGGCGGCCGCCCGCTCCCAGCCGACTCCGCAGTCTCCCCCCGATTTCCCCCCGATTTCTGAAGCGGTGGCTGGTTGCTAGGGACGCGGCCGCGGCAGGTGGCCTCTCCGACGAGCCTTGCGATTGGTGGACAGCCTCGAGCTTGCAGAGAAGTAACGGCGGGCGGGAGGGCCGGACCCTCCGCGAGGGTTGCTGCCGACCGATCCGCCGCCCGCCCCAGGGCAGGAAACCTGACTCCGCCCAAAATTCCTGGACCGGCCAATAAACCAAACTGCCATGACTTGCTCTTCAGCACTACTGTTTATATAAACGCACTTGGCTCTTCAGAAGAATGTACTTTTCAAGGCAGCAACAGTACACTTGGAGAGCGGAACTCTGCCCCTTAGCAGTTAGCCCCGGTCGGCTGTGTCCCCCCCC